AAAGTAATACTTAGATTAGTTTGAGAATGCTTAACAAATAAAGAAAAAAGAAAATTAGAAAAGTCTACAATGGATGTAGAATTCTCATTTGTATTATTAAAAACAACTTTGAAAATTAATACTGTAGCTACTTTAAAATCTTTTAAGAACTAAGTTTTAAAATATTGCAATAAAAGAACACATGCCATAATAAGCAAATATATAATTTTTTGAAAAAAATAATTAAAACTAAGGCTTTTTAATAAAGGGGAGAACTAATAATAAGAGACCAATCATACCCTGATTATGTGTTAACTCCCACATTTGTACAATGTGGAAGTGCTCCACATATATTCAATGACAATATGAATAATTAACATTTGTGATCTTAAAATCCCAAATCACTTGCCAGTGTTGTAAATCCATAAACGTTGAAATAAATACCTGGAAATAAGTATATTTCCAAAATTGTAGTCTTTGACAGTTTATATTGTTTAATCAATTACAAACAAATAAAGCAGCAAATAAAATGACATTATTGCTAGTTTCCACTTAGTTTCTTCATAATATGGCTATCTGGTGTTGCATTAGTGAAGATACTTCCTACAACCACATGGGTACCCCAGAGACTATGACGGATGACTTTACAGCAGCCAAGATCATCAACAGTAAATCCTAAATATCGGTAACGTTCATCTGTTTCAAAAAGAGTGCTGTTTGTATATGGTCCAAAAAATGCCAAACCAGATGATGGGTCGATAAAGTCAGCCCAATAGCCTTCAGCTCGAAGAGCATAGCAGATTTCCTTAGCACCATTAATGAACTTTTCTAAGAGCATTTCTCTTTCAAGTTCTACCTCTTCACTCCAAACAGTCATATCATTCTTAGTTTTCTGCGTTACAGTCAGAATCATTAGTTTGCTATTAGCTACTTCTGGAAATAGTGACTCAAAATCTCTTTGAAGCAATTCTGGACATGTCTGGATTGCACACTCCACTAGAGTCTGGGACAGCTGGAGGCGGGTGGTGATTGGTATGGATGGTTTCCACCCGCCTTAGCCCCTCCAAACTCGCCAATCTTTGGCCCAGAGTTCTCGGAATACTTTGCGAAGGAGAAGATTTTGTGTCTGTCTTCTCCACTGGAAATGGCCAATGTGCTCTGTAACAGAGCCAGACTGGTTTCCTATCTCCCGGGATTTTGCTCTTTAGTTAAAAGAGTTGTCAATCCAAAAGCCTTTTCAACTGCAGGATCTTCAGGTTCAGATGAATCTCATGTGGCCACTGCCCCTCCAGATATATGCTCTAGAACAGTGTGGCCTGATGAAACTATGGGACCATTTGGACCTCAGGATCAGAGATTCCAGCTTCCTGGGAACATAGGTTTTGATTGTCACCTCAATGGGACTGCATCACAGAAGAAAAACCAGGTTCATAAAACTTTGCCTGATGTACTGGCAGAACCTTTATCAACTGAAAGACATGAATTTGTGATGGCACAGTATGTGAATGAATTTCAGGGTAATGATGGACCGGTTGAACAAGAAATTAACAGTGCAGAAACTTATTTTGAAAATAGGGGAGTTTCTAATGCAGTACAGAAATATTTTTTCCTGAAATTTTTGGGAGTAAGTTGCTGACTTGATGCCTTCTCTACTACCCCCAATTACTTCAGCATATATTTCCCACCAACCAGGACATTTTTGCACATGATAATAATCGAATTATCACAATTAGTAAATTAATTCTGCTGCTTTTATCATCTAATCCTCAGACTCCGCTCAAGTGTCACCAATTGTCCCAATGCCTTTCATGTCAAAAGGATACAAGTCAGAATTAAGCATTGCACAAGACTGTCATATCCCATTCATTCCTTCCACTTGAGACAATTCTTCAGTTCCCCCTGGACTTTCATGATGTTGACACTTGAAGATTGCAGAACAGTTGTTTTGTAGAATATATCACAATTTGGGTATTTCTGATGTTCCTTTATAATGTTTCAGATTGTTATTGATGTGATGTCATACTTTTCTGATTTCTTTCTAAAGAATTTGTCCCATTTGTAATGATATTCTTATTACGTGAATAAAAAGATGACAGGACTCACCACTGTAAATTTCCTCTTCCAAATTGTAATTAATAAGTATTTGTGAAAGTCACTAAAACTATGTAAATATGCTGGCTTTTCCGAAAATATGTATCTTACTGATATATTTATATGCAAATGGATTATTTTCCATTTTCTATTCAATGACTATAATCTATTACTAGCAATATTATGCTTAATTTTCCCAATATGTCTCAAATTAAGTCCCTTATAGTAGGTTTATGTGTCCTTCTAAATACGTTCTCATTTAAAAATAAAAATTACATTATGTATATTTAAGGAGTTCTGCATGCTGTTATAAGATACACAAACATAGAATAAAATGATCCCTATGGTGAAATGAATGAACATATCCATCATTTCACAGAATTACCCAACCCCCCCATCATTGCAGAAGTGGTTATAACCTATTTATTTAGCAAAAATCCTGAATACATTACAATAGTATTATGTGAAGTCCTTAGTTTGCACATTATATCTTTAGAGTTGTCTAATTTCCTACCACCTGTCCCATCCATGCTAAGCTCTATTTTATTCTCTATCTCAAAAATACAAGAGGTAACTAGTGCTAATGGAGAAAGAGAACCTTTGTATGCTCCTGTTGGGAATCCCTTTTCTCCACAGGAAATGAAATCAGTAAATTAAAGAGATACCTCTCTGCCATATTTATCATAGTAAAATTCACAATAGTTGAGATATAGAAACAATCAACAGATAAATGGACAAAATATAAACATATATATTAGTATTCACTGATCACAAAATGATAACTATGTACCATATGATTATATATTAATATATCACATATATGTATATATGATATAAAATCATGTAATATGTATAATATGTGTAATATATATCATTGCTCTGAGATTCTCAACTGACCAAATTAAGAAATAGACATCTATTTACAGCTACATATATATCTATTTGTATTTACTTTATACATGAGTTTCAAAAAATAGAATTGCATAACAGCTGATTCTGACACTGCACTAAGCCACCCTCCTTGCCTACTTCAGTTCTGACACCCTATTCTAGGTACCCCATTCCCACCACATGGACTTTCCTCTCCTGAGCTCCAAAATGCAACCCAAGTTCACTGTAGTTGACACCCTAAACCATCCTTTATTCAGACTGTCTCCTGCAGCAACTTGTGGATTAAGGACTGCATTTTTTTGAGAAGAAAAAGTTCTAATTTTGTAATGTTCATGTCATCACATCAGGAATATTATGGCTGTCCATCCTGTTACTTCAAGTTGTCATTTTTTTCCCTTTGGCCCATCTTATGCCACATGTATGTGTGAAGTGGAGAACAGCATGTTGAAGACAAATAATGACAGAAAACAACTCAGTCTATGAGAAGGGATGAAGCTCTGACAAGAGACACTTCCCCCCGAAAAGGAGACCTTGAATCCTCACTCAGCCCAAGGGAAGAATGCATTCTCAGTTCTACAGATACCTCTGAAAATAGGAAAGGGACAACATTCCAAGAATCTTCAACCTTGGCCTGTATATCTACACAATCCAAAAATAATTCAAGTAGCTGAAGTAGAACAAAACCATTGGGTTTTGGAAACTGGTGCTTTAGAAACTTACTGAAGTTTGAATCTTCAGATTATGAGGAGAAAAACTTTCAAATCAATGCATGGGTTCTGATGCAAGAAGAGTGTGACATCAAATTAAAATGATGGAACAAAAAGGACAAGTGACAAAATGAAAACAACAGTAGGAGATTCCAGATAAGGTTTGAAGAACTTTCGTTGTTTCTGATGAAGATCAGTGTCCCTGAATTGCTTGGAATTTGTTTTCTATAAACACAGCTATATGGGCTTAGGTCTTTCCTTAAACATTTTCAAGTCATCTTATAATTACCTTTATAAATTCCAAAGATAGAAGCAGATATTTTCATTCTATTAAGTATAAATTTCTAGGTCAGTTCAAATTAACCTCTATAAATTTCAAAAATTCAAATACTCTAATTTTGTTAATTGTTAAGAAGAAAGTTCTCAATTAATTCAAACTAACACATATACGCTACCCAGTAGTTCTCACAGCACCTGAAAGAGCAGGTCACACCTGTCTCCATCATCTTTCCTTCTCCTCCCAACTCACATTTATAGAGAAACTCTGATTGTCTCATTTCTTGTCCTGTATTCTGTCCCCCACAACTTATAACAGTAGTATTTGCAATCCTTTATCCACCTTCTATCTGCTCTGTAAAAGAAAGTCAAATGACTAAAGCCATGTTAATTAACAAGTGTGAAATATGTACTATTATCATTTAGGAGTTCTTTACAGCAAAGTATTTTCTACCAATACATTTTTTAAATATTGTAAAAATATTTTTTAGTTGTTGATGGACCTTTATTTTATTTATTTGTATGTGGTGCTGAGAATCAAACCCCGTGCCTCACACATGCTAGCCAAGTGTTCTTCTTCTGAGCTACAACCCCAGTCCTCTAATGATCCATTATTTTGACCTTGTTTTTAGGATAGGATATTGGATAGATTGCTGCTAGAATTCTTGACCGCAAGTTTCTAAATAAGTGATTTTCACATATTAGGGAAGAAGCATTGACTTCTTTAGGTCCATTTCATGAGATCTCTAAGAATTTTGAAAAAAAAAACTTTTATTTAATCTTTTTAAATAGGTATTATTCAAATTATGCAACTAGACATACTATTTTAAATCACCAACATATGACTATCACAGGACTAAAAACTCCAATATTTTCTTTTTTTGAGTACTATGTTAAATACATATGTATACTACAAAAATAAACACACACGCACATACACATCATCAAAACTTGCTTTGTGGCCTGTTTTTCCCACTTTTCTACAATCCTGCTTTAAAATTACAGCCCCAGTATGAAGAAATACTCCCTCCAATGCACTGGCCTTGACAAAAAATAATAGCTCCACATTTTCCTTGAACACAGCTTATTCTCAAGCACTGTCTTCTGTATTGGGGGAATTTACCCGATTTCTAGTCCAACACTTTGACTCTTTGTATCCAAGTTCTGATCACTGAGCTTTCTTTTGTTACTCGTGTGTTAGTATTCTCCTTCATAATCCAAATGGAAATCTACACATTTTACATTAATGGCAGTTCCACATTTTTCTAGCCAGTTCTCTTTTCACAATTTTGACAACACTTCCAAAATGTATCAGGCTGATAGATTGATGGTGTCATATTTGTCTGTTTTACCCTATTCAAATCCATTGGGTCATTTGCATTTTGGAATTCATTCCTAAATGGTATATTGATTTGTGACTATGTCATACAACTTGATCTGGCTATATTACAGCTACTCCTTCCCCTTCTTTGAAAAAGAAACTTGATTTTGTTAATGAGGATAATGGGCCTGTCCAGTTCAGGAGTGATTAATGATGGTTTTAGAACAATCTTGGAAATTCTATTCTCCCATGCCAGGTATTTAATTTCCTAGCTTCTCTTGCCACTAATCATATTTATATGATTTTGTTCTAGCAAATGCACACCAAAGAAAAGCCTCCTGGAATATTCCTTAAAATATCTTTTCTACTAATTAAAAGATTTCTTTTTACACTCAGAACTTTACCTTTATTCTTTAAACATAATTAGATAGAGCTATGATGCTTGGAATTGCATCTTGAGAGCATGAGTCAACAAATATATGGATAACAATGAAAAGATGAATCTGAGGGCTATGTTTCAATACACCACTGCATCAAAGACTAAATGACCTATCTCCAAAGGTCTTAGATACAAGTTTTCTTGAATTGCAGCCAAAACCATTCCTAACTATTTTAGGTTCCCACTCAATCTGCTGTCCCAACAGCTTACAGAGAGTAAGAGCTGAATTCGTATTTAATGAAACAAGTTATAATCAAAGAGAGGAGAAATAAAGATTAAATGGAAGA